AAAGTGTTCCACTTGGCACAGTGCTTCTGTAATTCTTATTTCCTATTCAGGGCTTGGGTGTACCAGTTCAGGGTACAAGATACCTGGGATTGAAACCTGCCTAATCACAGTGCTCCCTGTGCCTTGCACTCCCTGTGGTACCTCTGCTTTCCCTAGAGCATGTTCCTGACTTCAAAAGGTCTGAAAGGAAATTCACATTTCTGCATTATAAAGAACACTGCAATGCCCACATGGAAATAGCATTACCACACAGTAAATAAAGGGTGGGGTGAAAGGATACTATCTCTGCTCCAAATACCTGATATTTCTTCCAATAGGGGCAGTACATCAAACTCTTCACTCTATATAAGCATGTTAGGTTGAGGAATAGAACTCAGCATAGACTAGGGATGGTGCTGGGCTTTACACTGAATGAGTGAAGGACCAAAGGAGAAGGATAAAAGTTATTCACAGAGGACTGAGGTGTTTTACCAGGGTGACACTGAGTCCAGTAGGGAGAACAATCAATAGCAATTTTGCCAATTGTTACTGCTTAATATAATGTAATGAGGAATGACCACAAGCTGTCATTTGAGAACCAATATTGCTTGTTAAGACCAGAAGTCCATTGATACTGCAGGGCTGCAGTGCAACATCTGGCAAGAAGTGCCATCACAGGGGTTGTCAGGAGCAGGCATCCTCACACAGGGAGCACCCAAGTGCTGTGGTGAGAAAAGCCAAAATTAGTTACATCATTGTCTCTGTGGGAGTTCTGAGCATGAAAAGACTCTTCCGCAGGACCTCCAAAGTGATATCCTGGTGCTGCTGTCTGCCAAGCTCAGCAGGCATCTGCCACCAATGGGGAGCCTCTTGGGCAGATAGAATTAAAAGGTGAAACAAATACTTGTGTGTATGGCCTATGAGAAACATTGACACTGAAAACTGATAAGACAAGGAGGCAGCAGGGAAAGAAGAAGTGTAAATGAAGTCCATTTTTGAGGGAAGCAGCAATGACCAGAACACAGTAGCTAGCCCTGAACTCTTTCTTCAAAAGCGGAAAGACCTGCTGAAGAGCAAAATCACGAATGTTCAATCCTGTTAAGTGAGCTCCCAGTAGGAGTAATTTTTAAAATGAAAAGCATGCCCACTGTTCAGAGATACAAGCAGGAGAATGGCAGGGGAATCTACAAAAGGAGAGAGGTGATGAAGAGAGACAGCAGGAAATCAAACTCCACTCAGAATAGCAACCTGCAAAGATCCAGCACACTCCTGCCTACAAAATAACAAATAAAACTCTCCCCAAGATGAATAAACTGCTAAAAGCACTGGTAGAAAAAAAATGAGTTGTACCTACAGGTACCTCATGGCCCTTTTAAACGGTAAGAGTTAGAAATCTTAATGTGAATACAAACCTACTTTTTTTTTATTATTTTTATTTTTTTTTCTTTCCTTTAATTCACATTATACATGCTTTTGTACTAGCAATGTATTGAATACAGAGTTTGGCAACTCAGGAGAAAACATTTTGTTTCCAACAACCTACATCACCGATAAAGTTTTTTTTGTGATTTTTGTTTTTCATTTTATTTTGATATATTAATCCTCAGAAAGGATATCAATTATAGATCCAAATTACTGTGAATGAGATACCTTCATATTAGATTTATACTTGGTATAGTGAGGGACGCCAGAAGCTAGTGTAATCTCTGTCTTAATCAGAAGAAGTCTGCTTAAGGAATATATTCTTGATTTGTAGGTGTTCTCACTGCCCACATTCATTATTCAGGTGTAAAAATTGCTCCATTTGTTAATCCATGGCATTAGCTTTCTGATAAGGAAGCTTGCAATGAGTTGCATATAATTTACTGTTGAAATAGCTGTGACTCTCATATTAGGAATATCAAGCATTATTTCAGGCTGATAAAGTAAGTAGATTTATTTATTTATTTATTTATTTATTTTATTTTATTTTCAACTTCATTGCCTTCACCAAGTTCAGAGGCATTTACTCTACCCTTCTCCAAAGTCTGACACCATCTAAACTCATTAGAGTGAGGAGCTTTGAGTGGTCAGGCATGGTACTAGGCCATAAGGACTCGATCAGGAATTTAAAGTCACTGCTCAAAACTAGAAAGATGGGTTGATTTCATTACTATTGACAGGCAGGTCCTTGAGACGTTTACCACAGGAGGAACTAATTTAGATAATAAATTCTCACTGGTGTTAACAAAGTAAGCTTTAATTCCTGTCCAAAAGAAAAAGGATTTCTTCTTTTTCCAGTAATGATATATTGGGATTTAATGCAGACATATTTAGATTATAGGCTGGTCAACAGTTTCACTGGGAAACTTTTGTCCAAGCAGTAATTTTCACTAAGTATAGCACCATTGTGTCACTTCTGCTTCAAGTTATAGATATTTCAGTACTGTACAAAACATCAGGATTACAAGACAATTATTAACTTCCATAGATAATTGTGAATTCTTCAAGACCAACAAGCTTGATTCAATAGTATGAAACTTCATTTAACTTACTACCTCCAGTTAATTTATCTTGTCCAAATTGCTTAGTAATCCTAAATCATTAAAGTGCTTAAAGTAATTAGTTTCAATTTTTATTTTGGCCCATTTTCATTAAAGCAGTTTCTTTTTCAGCTGGTTAGAGAAATCTGGTGAGGAAAAAATTGTGTTGAGGTGGTATTTTTTGCTTCCACAGGTGTGGTACTTTTGGTCAGTGTCTGTTTATATGGCATCCTCTTCCACAAATACACTGTGGGTAACTGAGCTAGGATGTCCCCATTGTGTTTGGGACAGTCACTAAGTACATATTAGCAGCACATTAACCTGGATTCTGTGCACTAGACAGAAGTGGGGTTAGGAGAAGAATAAATCTTTCCTCTTCAGTTTGTGAAACCTAGCAAAGCGATTGTGGCAGCAGCTGTGAATGCAAACACATTACTGATTTTTATTTAATAGGTTTAGTTGTTTTAGGATCCATGCAGGCACACCTGGACTCTTCCTTAAGACTGTTCTCTTTTCTGTTACTACTGCCTTAGATACAATAGCTGAGTATTTCCTGATGCAGGTGGCTAATTTGCAGCAAAACCCAGAGAAGCATTGAATTTCCCCAAGAATGAGTTTCTAAGTAGTTAAAACAAGCACCCAAATTTAAGGAATTTTTAGGAGGGCTACAACAATCTATTGGGATGGTTTCAACTACACAGGATGAACTGGCTCTACAGCTGGAGGTGATTGTCCCTGTGGTCTTCAATGTATTGAAAATAAAGATAGTGCTCAAAATTACTGGCATAAGTAACTGTATACCCAAGAATATTCATGACAGTTGCACTAATTTAGTGTGTGATCAGGATTTTGAGATTGCTATGATAATTAGGTTGGAAAGTGTATGCCCAGGCACGTAATGTCTGGCTTTGGAAATAGACTGAACATGCAAATAGGCACTCTTGTTAATCCTTTACTTTGTTTAAAGCACTGGAGATAACCAGCTCTACTGTTCACTTTAATGGGTCGAGTAGTACCCTCTATACCTTTTTTTCTTTGTTTCTTTCTTTATAATAGAAATAACCAGTAGGCAGTATTTTTTCCAGAATGAGGTGGAAGCCAAGTCAGAGAAGTAAGTCTGCATACATACTCCTATGTGTAGAATCATAGAATGGCTTGGGTTGGAAAGGACCTTAAAGATCTTCTAAATCCAACCCCCTGCCATGGGCAGGGACACCTCCCACTCGATGAGGTTGCTCAAAGCCCCATTCAACCTTGCTCAAAATTTCCTCTTTAAAGGATACGACTGTTTACAAAATGAAGCTCTGAAAATTTAGGAAGTGACAGAATCCGGCTTGCCTCTGCACATTTTGTAGAGGTCTGCTCTGTTTTTTTTTTGTTTTGTTTTGTTTTGTTTTTCATTATGATGAGTGCTTGATTATATGGCTACATGTTTTTTTACTCACAGGTGTCTGGGATGGATTAGGATCACTTGCTGAGCAGCTTTTCAATATTCTGTTTTATCATCATCGTTCAGCACGTGGCCCCATGTCTCGGGTATTGCTCTCCATTCAAGCTGTGCTCTGGATACATAATTATTAATTTCATCAGCAGCTTTTTGGTGGCAGTTACTGCTATTGTTTTCAGGTGGCTTGCAAATAGTGGTGAATTCTATTTCACCTCTCTGAGATGACGGAACATTGTTATCTTCATTTTTCAGGTGGAACAAAAAGACGCAGCAAGATTAAAGTCCAGAGGCTCTGCTAATTTCAGCCACCAAAGATCTTTCCTAATTACCCTTGTGGAAAGCTGATAGCATTAGCAATAGCCTTCATGTGGTTCAGTGCTAACAAAGCCTAGCCAACGGCTGTCACAGACATTTACTAATGGGAGAGGCTCTGGAGGCCTAAGCTCCTTCCAAACTCTGAAGGCAAATGTGCTGTGGACAGACACAGGCTTGCTGGCTTGTCCCCTCTGCAGCGTATGATCCATGAACAGCCAGATGCTCTGCTCTCCACCCTTGCCTCCAGCTGGAAGGGGGAGCTTTTCCCCATGTGCTGCCGAGAGCCAGCTGAGTCAAAACTACTGCTAGCCCTGGTGACTGGATCTTAGGAAGGCTTATAATGTGGTCAAATTTGGGCTGATTCACACAGAATTAGCAAAGTATCTGTTAACCTTTCCAGAAAATGATGCTAGGGTATATATTGTTCCTTCAAGTTGTTCTTAGAAAAAAAAAAGAACAGTCTGGAGTTGGATATTTCCCTACATATTTAGCCTGCAGGAAAATCTGCCTAGAATACTTCAGCCCCACAGGTTAAAATGTAGCAAAATTAAGAAGCAGGGAAATCCTGGATGACTTTACTGTCGAAGAGTACTTGTAGTGGCCTTGCTGCTAATAAGAAGGCATATACATGCACAGATGCACCCACGGAGACTTCATGCACATACACAAGCACAATAATTAGCAGGACGCTGGATGCCCTCTCATTTATTTCACTTGTTCTTCTCTGTACAGCTTAATCTTGCAGACAGTTTGCTTTAATCCTGAGTGGATGAAAACGGCAGGAGTTTGTATAAAATTGGTGTAAGTTTTCAGCCACTGAGAGCAGAACACATCAGAAGGCAATGCTGAATAAATCCAGAGGAATACCATGGCATTAATTGTGCATCGTGCTGAGCATACCTACTGTGGTAGAAGGTGACTCCCACCCCAGTGATGGATGGCATCCTGAATGAGGTAGGACCTCCTCATGTTTCACCTACGCAGAATTGCTGAAAGCTTCATGTTGTGGTCTAATGCAAATTAATTGAATTTAAATGGTAAACACTGAATTGTACAAACAACAGAAGTACAAAGTGAAAGAACCCACCACGGTCATTCCTCTTTTGGAAATGTGGTAACACCTTCAGAGAAAAAATGATTAAATGTGTAGGGAAAAAAATCATTTGCCAGTGGAAAAAAAATGCATTAGACCTTTTAAAAAGTGACCTGCCAGATGTTTTGTATATTAATGATATCTTTTACATAATATAAGTGAGGGTAATGCATGAATCAGTAAGGGCTCAAATTTACAAGGAGTGTGAAACAATAATTTAATTCTCCTGAGATATGTTATCAACTCCAGTCCCATGCTTTTTATACACATGTAAACTTCAGTGGAAACCATCTTAACTGCTTTCCTTCTTATTAAACAGTCTTCCAAAATCTATAATTCAGTGAGACATTAAGCAGTTGGCATTTGTTGCTATACAATCCAATTCCACAAGCCCCACTGTGAATTCAGCGGGGCATTCTCTACTAGCCAGCTTCTGTTATCAGTAACTCTACATGAAAGAACTTGCATTTTCCTACTAATGAAGAAGACTGAAGAATAATAAAGTTGTTCAGTATTTTAAAACCTTAGTGTGGATTGCAGCCTTGAGATTTAAATGCAGAGAACTGTTGAGATGCTTTTGAATAGAAGTGTCTCTCACTAGTAAGTGCCCGTATACTTTTAACTCCTACAGATGAACATATACAAGTTACAGTAACATTTAGACATCAGGAGGATATCACTGAATTCTATTAGGAAATCTTAAATATTAAATGAGCTGTATCTATATTAGAAAATTATGAGTATGATCTGTGTCTTTTAGGAGCATTATTTTTGCAGAACGATAAGTTTTGCCCTTCACACAATTTATTGACTGATAAGCATTTGAGCAGCACTCCTGACATAGGTTCTGACCTCCAAGGCCTCTACAGACATACAGTGCACTAAGGTCTTCATTACTCCTTCATTATCAACCTTGAGTTTGCGTGGTGTGCCACCATCTCACCTCCATGAGCCCACTGGAGCTTGAGGAAGCAACTTTCATTAAGTGAAGCAGCTGGTGGTGCTCCCAAGATGACCATTGTCACTACATGACAATGGATGTGTCAGGTAGCAAGCTCTCTACCGATGAAGCAGCTAAGCTGGATGTGGAGGCATGGAGCTTGTATTGGGTCTACATGACAAGGTTTTTGTAGTGTGGGGCTGTAGTGGTGGCCTCTGTGAGAATAGTTCAGAAGCTGCCCCATGTTAGGTAAGGGCCAGTTTCAGCTGGTTGATGTGGCCTGGAGGAGGCTGCAGCCCATGGAGAGCCCCCGCAGGAGCAGGCCCCGGGCCAGAGCTGCAACCCGTGGAGAGGAGCCCACACAGGAACAGGGGGTCGGGGTGAGCTGCTGCCATTGTTTTCTGGTTACTTGCCTGAAGAACAGGATATTTACTCTCTGGTAAAACATGTAATGCCCTGCTTGTTTCTTGGGTTATCATTTCTGCTGCAAAGTCTTCCCCATGCTGTCCTACCTGTCTCTGTTAAATCAAGGGGTACATCATTGCTTTTAGAAAATCACAGACCTAGTTTACTTCCTTGGATATCAGTCTATCTGCCTTGGTCCTACACAACCAAAGAAGGGAATATCAGCATCGTGGGAGTAATGTGCAACATCACATTAATCTGGAGAAATGTTTTCAACAGGGAGGATTTTCAATTTAGCAGATAAAAGACTGTTTTGGGGAATAAAGTGCTCTGAGTTTTTGACTCTCTCAGTGGAGGAGAGCCTGTATCCCAAAATCAGTAATATTAGGGTGAGTTTGCACCACTGAAACCAGAACAAGTTTTGCCACATATTTGTAGATGGGCAGGCTGGAGATTTTGCTTTTCTGGGCTTGTATATTTCTTTCTTTCTTACTTTTTTTTTTTTTTTTTTTTTTTTTTGGCTAGATAAATTATTGCCATAAGAACATTGCTAAAATCATTGTCAAGTATCAACTGCAAATATCTTTTACAGAAAAATGCTCCATCTCCCTACCTTCTGCACAAACAATTATGAGGTTAGAGAAGTTTCTGCATGGGGCTTTTTTTTTTTTTTTTTTTTTCCCAGTAAAAACATTGTGCCAGCAGAAGATTTCTAAGATGCACAAAAGTATGTAACACATTAATGATCCTGATTTTTAATGAATTTTTAAATGAATTTGTGCCGGTGCAATCAGTTTTGTTAACTGCTGAGCAACAGTGTCTGTGTTCACAATTAATTGTGGAAGTAAAATGACAGCCACGTAGATAGAAGCTGGATTTAAATCAGCAAGTTCCAATTAAATACATGACTGCAAACTACACAACTGCAGATCTGTAAAAATGATATTGTCAGTAAAGATCAGAGAGGTGTTTGAAGACAATTATGACATCAGCTTAAGGGTTGAAATTCTGTACTTTCTCATGTCTGTAAGGAGACCTGGATCTCTCACTTCAAAAACCTAAACTGTAGGGGTGAACGGGAAGCACAGAGAAAGGCCATGACAGTGGTGTGTTGCAAGGACTCCAGATATGCCAGGACAGGAAGGTCGCAGGGCCTCTGTTTTGTTAATTGGTCTAGAAAAAGAAGGTTTGTTCCTCCTGTGGACTACTGTAGAGACAGAGTGCCAGCCTCTGTGTGCAATAATTGCAACTTTAAACTCTCCTGTTTGGATAAGATTTCTTAAGAAGCAAATTGTTAAGCATATGGATTGTTCTGGCTAAGAGCAAAAAAGAGCACTGCATTTTAGGACATTAGGACATGGAAAGGTGGCATCCATTGCCTCAGAGAACAACTCAGGATCACTGCTGCATTATTTGAATTGCCTTTATTTTTCATTTATTTATTTATTTATTTTCTCATTTTGGGACATACAAGAATGAGGAATAGTTGCCTACGTTTAGACCTTTTGAAATTTACTTGTTGTATAGCAATTTCTGAGAGAAAAAAACACCGAGTAGAATCGTTCATTTGCTGGAACACTTTTGCTCATCTCTTTTTGTAGATTTTTTGGCAATGTGTGAGTAAGATGTGTGTCACACCTGCTGCGGTGTAGGCTAATATGCAATTGTCCATCAGGAGACCCATCTCAGTGGTATTCTTTAGGATACTGCAGCAGCTTTGAATAACCTTCAGCTGTGCTATTGTTGTGTGTTGGAGAAGAGTTTGTAAGCTTCCTGAATTTGCGGATGTGGGGGACAATCAAAGTATCTTTCTTTGTGAATTGTAGGCACCCCACAGAGATGCTCCTTTCCTTCAAGTTATTCACCACCAGCAGATGTGAAGGGGGGGGGCAGTTGAGAACTACTCAGTCACTTCTCAAGTGACGTCCTGTATTTTTGCCATTGCAACATGGGGACTCGGAAACTTTCTATGAGTCCCTGCTGTTGACAGCCAAGCCTGGCTTCCGTGGGTCGCTGGGTTTGAAGACCTTGAGGTAGGACAAAGGACATGCCCACAAGAATGGTTTTATTTCATAGCTAGTGAAGTAGAAAACATTTCCTAAATTTATTACAAATCTTGAAGAAAAAAAGGAGAGGGACATTCATCCAGCCCCAGGCTCCTTTCATCCAGCATGAATGTCACGTGACAGTGAGAGATACCAAAGATAGAAAACACTGGCCAGATTTTTTTCTTGCCTGCTTCTGTTTTCATCTGCATGTAGCCAGCTGGAGATGCAGATTACAGCTGGTTTATTATTTTCTTGAAGAAGTGTCTATTTTTTGGCAGGCCAAATGCAGGCAGAGACACAGTAAGAGACACTCCACATGTTCCAGGAGCACCAAGGAGATGGGCTTGGAGCAACATCCAGGTCCAGCAGTGAACATCTGTCCTAGCCACTGGTGCTGCAGGGACAGGAGGGTAAGTGGAGGCTCGGCGCTGGGCAGGACATGTGCTGCCTGCAGGCTGGTGACCCTGGCAGCCTGGTCCTGCTCTAGGGGTGCACAGACCTTTGTGCACTGGGAGGAGAGACAGTGACAGGTCTTGTCCTCTATTATCCTTTGAAATAGGGATTATCAGTGTTAGTGATGCTCAGCTATTCTTCTGGGCACATTTGTTATCCCTGTCTATGCCAAGCTCTGATACAGTTGCAGGCCCAGCTGCAGTTGTCTGGCTTGTTCACTTTGCCAAGGGCTAAAGGGAGATTGATCAGAAAGAGTTGAGTCACTGGGATGAAGGTACAGGGTGGATGGCATGGAGATGGCATGCCATGGCATAGAATAGAACAGAACAGAGCAGAATATGTTTTTAAAGCTGATAGTTGCTTTGCTGTCCTATTCTCTGGCCTCCTGATCTTGAGGTCTATTCCTCTGCTGTGACAGAAAGAGCAAGAGAGGTTAACTGGGGAATTAGCCACTCCTTATACAACTGGCATATTTTCTGCACTGGAGAAACATAAGCAGCAAAATGAGTGATCTTAAAGGAAAAGTGGAGGTGTGGATTCTTGACAGGATGGAGGAAATAAAGTGATTTTAGTCCTTTGGACTTTGGACTGTAGTTAAGTGGCTTTGGGGCAGTTGGTCTATGCAAGAAAGATAGGTCACACAGAGGGGCAGTTCAGGAAGTATTACTTAAATATTAGGATCACATGACAGTAAATATTGGGATTACAGAACAGTATGACAGTTAAGCAGTTTATTTATTTGTTTGTTTGTTTATTTTCAAAACTGATTTTAAGGGCATCCCCTGCCTCAGGTGGTCAGCCTCTTCTTGCAAAGGCTGTGAAAGCATCACAGAGACTTATCTGTGACCACAGCTGAAAATGGTATCATAATAGCCAGACTTAGACTGTACTTCAAGGTCCTCCTTGAAGAATCTGATGCAGGGCAGAGAAGTGACCAGGGTGAACTAGCCTATTTTTGCCAAATTTTCTGTGATTTTAAAATTTTGCTGCTAAAGAAAATTGGACCCAGACAAAA